TGGGGATTTTTGTTTCTCATCGTTACTAACCCTGTTTCTCCCTTTCACGGAATGAGGAAATTGAAAGCTATAAATATTATGAGAAATTTAAAAACATTTTGCACTAATGCATAACTAGACCACTATAGTGGCATTACCTTTCAAAAGACTAATAAACCTATACATCAATTTGAGAGTTAATACAAACGAAACTATTATCTTCACTAACGGCTTTTTACCTAAACACGGTTCCCTGCTACAGGCTAATGAGCTGTTCACTCTTAATTACCCCCCTAATTAACTCCCTCCACTCCTCCTTCTCCCAATAATCTCCAAATCACTCAAATACACAATCTATTCAACAATTGATCAGCATCCATTCGTTCAACGTGGCCAAACATGTCTCCATCTTGCAATTATCAGATTGCAAGATGGAGACATATATATGTTATATGTCTTATCTTTCTATGGCATTTGCATTCTTTATTTAATCTATTTTTTATCTGACACTATACAACAGTTCATAATACAAGTTTCCACTGTTGTAATTAATGTTGTTTCGTGTTTAAGCGTCACTCCCCCAGCTCCAGTATCACTCATTTATCTCATTTGCCATTTCTTCTCTCTCTTCTATGCCTGGTTAAAGACAGGGCCGCGGGACTGTTGATCCCCGGAAGGCATACAAGGTAGGTAGGGCTCTCACTATCTAACTCATTAATATATGTTTAGCCCACGAGGCCAAAGTCACTCAGATTATACACAGATATACATGGCACTCAGTACCACGTATACCTATGTATAAGCATATTACTAAAGCATGTATTTATGCATAGGTTGACTGTACAAAAATGACAACATTTAGACAGTTGTTCATTTTTCTTAAAGCCTAAATTAGATCATAACTGGGCCTGCACCGTGAGTCATACAATACACCATACACGTAAAATATACACAATTAAGCCACTTATTTATTTTGAGGTTGAAATAAATTGAAAAATTTCAGATTGTGCAAATCAATACGTATTAATTCTAGGGATATTTACCTAAATTTCTAGGATTTATCAAAAGTTTTTAATTAAAAGGTTTCCCAAATGTTAAGCAATATTTTAAATATATTTAGAGTAGATAATAAGGAAAAAAATTATATATATATATATATATATATATATATATATATATATATATATATATATATATATATTTTTAAACATGAAGTAACAAATAGATTGTATTTTATTACATACATACTTTAGTTTTTTTATAATTTGTTAAAGAAAATTTGCATAAAAAAGCAATGTTTAAATGCTCCAGAGTTGGATCTATTCTTGTATATCCCGTATAATGTGTCTGAATCATACATCTTGTGTACTGATGGCTTGTGTATACATTATAATACGTAGTCTTCACGAAACCTGCCAACACACACACACACACACACACACACACACACACACACACACACACACACACACACACACACACACACACACACATACACACATACATACATACACGCACTCGTTCTCTGCTTACACAGACTTAATGTCTTCTTTCTACCCAAATCACAGACTTATTTTAAGTGATTATAGTCACAATCCCTAATCAGAGAAGATGCTAGAGGATGCGAATCGCGGTTCCCCCAATCCCCCACTGTTATTATTCCACAATCACAATCCAAATCACCCAATTCATTTCCATTTAAACTGTATAATTTATATTCATATTTCACCATCATCAAAACTCTTATATACACTTCCCTTGGACCTGAGACACGCTATCCGTTAGTATTATTCATTCATTCATGTTTCACAATTTGTCTTCAGATCACAAAGCCGGTGATTGAAGACGCAGTTTAAGAAACACGCGTTTAATTAGGTAGTTTAGAGGGACGAAGAGAGAAGTGGAGAAGGGCAAAGAGAGTAAAGAGACACGGGAGAAAGAGAGAGAGAAAGCTACTGCCTCTGCTACTATCCCTGCTTCTACTACTACCACTCCTGCTGCTACAAAGACTCTCTACTGCCTCCACGTATACCACAGGTGTAAGATGTTACTCATACACACACAGATAACCTATAACATGCGGGGGTCTAACAGCTAGAGTTCGATCCTCTAACTACAAATAGTTGACTACACACACACACACTACAGGAAACTACAGCTGTATCGTTTGTTAGTAATTTTGACGACACTCTTAAAAAATGAAAGTGACTGTAGCCTTGTACAGTGCCTGATGCGGAGGGCAACGTTCAGAGGTGCTGCTACAAGGGGTTCAGGGCTCCTACAGGGTGTTCAGGGCTCCTACAAGGGGTTCAGGGCTCCTACAAGGGGGTTCAGGGCTCCTACAAGGGGGTTCAGGGCTCCTACAAAGGGGTTCAGGGCTCCTACAAGGGGTTCAGGGTTCCTACAGGGTGTTCAGGGCTCCTACAAGGGGGTTCAGGGCTCCTACAGGGTGTTCAGGGTTCCTACAGGGTGTTCAGGGCTCCTACAAGGGGTTCAGGGCTCCTACAAGGGGGTTCAGGGTTCCTACAGGGTGTTCAGGGCTCCTACAAGGGGGTTCAGGGTTCCTACAGGGTGTTCAGGGCTCCTACAAGGGGTTCAGGGCTCCTACAAGGGGGTTCAGGGCTCCTACAAGGGGTTCAGGGGCTCCTACAGGGTGTTCAGGGCTCCTACAAGGGGGTTCAGGGCTCCTACAGGGTGTTCAGGGTTCCTACAGGGTGTTCAGGGCTCCTACAAGGGGGTTCAGGGCTCCTACAAGGGGGTTCAGGGCTCCTACAGGGTGTTCAGGGCTCCTACAGGGTGTTCAGGGCTCCTACAAGGGAGTTCAGGGCTCCTACAAGGGGTTCAGGGTTCCTACAGGGTGTTCAGGGCTCCTACAAGGGGGTTCAGGGTTCCTACAGGGTGTTCAGGGCTCCTACAAGGGGTTCAGGGCTCCTACAAGCGGTTCACGGCTCCTACAAGGGGGTTCAGGGCTCCTACAAGGGGGTTCAGGGTTCCTACAGGGTGTTCAGGGCTCCTACAAAGGGGTTCAGGGTTCCTACAGGGTGTTCAGGGCTCCTACAAGGGGTTCAGTGCTCCTACAAGCGGTTCACGGCTCCTACAAGGGGGTTCAGGGCTCCTACAAGGGGGTTCAGGGCTCCTACAAGGGGTTCAGGGCTCCTACAAGGGGGTTCAGGGTTCCTACAGGGTGTTCAGGGCTCCTACAAGGGGGTTCAGGGGTTCCTACAGGGTGTTCAGGGCTCCTACAAGGGGTTCAGGGTTCCTACAGGGTGTTCAGGGCTCCTATAAGGGGTTCAGGGGCTCCTACAAGGGGGTTCAGGGCTCCTACAAGGGGGTTCAGGGGCTCCTACAAGGGGTTCAGGGGCTCCTACAAGGGGGTTCAGGGTTCCTACAGGGTGTTCAGGGCTCCTACAAGGGGGTTCAGGGTTCCTACAGGGTGTTCAGGGCTCCTACAAGGGGTTCAGGGCTCCTACAAGCGGTTCACGGCTCCTACAAGGGGGTTCAGGGCTCCTACAAGGGGGTTCAGGGTTCCTACAGGGTGTTCAGGGCTCCTACAAGGGGGTTCAGGGTTCCTACAAGGGGTTCAGGGCTCCTACAAGGGGTTCAAGGCTCCTACAAGCGGTTCACGGCTCCTAGAAGGGCTTCAGACCTTCTACAAGGGGTTCAGGGCTCCTACAAGGGGTTCAGGGCTCCTACAAGGGGTTCAAGGCTCCTACAAGGGGTTCAGGGCTCCTACAAGGGGGTTCAGGGCTCCTACAAGGGGTTCAGGGGCTCCTACAAGGGGTTCAGGAGCTGTTGAACCCTCCTTGTAAAATGTAGATAATACCGCATTACAGCATGTTAATATTACAAAGTAAGTAATTTGCAATATCGTAAAACAAGCCGTTCGTATAACATGCCGTTCATAAAAACATGCCGTTCGTAAAATCATGCCGTTCGCAATATCGTTTTATAATATATATCTCGCCAAATATATTGTCACTTCGACAGATTCTTATACATTTAAGAATAACGTCGCTGTTCCACCTGCTGGTGTGCGCGAGGTCGGTCACCGCTGTTAAGAATCCCACCTCAGCACATTCTTGAGAATATTAGCAATACAATAATTCGTTAATTCTACGGATGTCTCCAGCCTTAACTGAGCTCTGGTTCTGTGGATGGTTTCAGTCTTAACTGAGCTCTGGTTCTGTGGATGGTTTCAGTCTTAACTGAGCTCTGGTTCTATGGATAGCCTCAGTCTTAATTGAGCTCTGGTTCTATGGATAGCCTCAGTCTTAACTGAGCTCTGGTTCTGTGGATGGTTTCAGTCTTAACTGAGCTCTGGTTCTATGGATAGCCTCAGTCTTAATTGAGCTCTGGTTCTATGGATAGCCTCAGTCTTAACTGAGCTCTGGTTCTATGGATAGCCTCAGTCTTAACTGAGCTCTGGTTCTATGGATAGCCTCAGTCTTAACTGAGCTCTGGTTCTGTGGATGGTTTCAGCCTTAACTGAGTTCAGGTTCTGTGGATGGTTTCAGTCTTAATTGAGCTTCATCCTACAGATGGCCCAGCCTTAACCCTATACTTAATATGAACGCAGCTAAACATTAACTTCAAAATACTCAAATGAATTGCAAACATTTTAATTTTTCTTGAGTAAGACATCAAATTCAGGTGAAGTACGAGAGGTCTAAGCATTCCTAGTTCATTTCCGGAATGCTAATGCTGAGAAAATGAGAGAAAAAGAGAGAAAGAAACGATGCAAGAGAGAGAAAATTCCTTGTGAGAGTGGCAAGGACACCAAGAACAATGAACCGTGTTGAACAAAGTCCAATGCCCAAGGCCCATTGAACAAGGCCTGGATTACCATCAGTACATGGCACTTCATAGGATCAAACCTGTTTTTTTCCCCCATAAGAGAGGATTTTTCACCTTAGTTTAGCTTAAATAGCATGAAATTGTCCTTTTGAGACGCCATTCAACGCTACCGAGTTCATTTAGAAAACCCAGGGGCTTCAAAGGTCGATTTTGAACGCTTGTCAAAG